ACCCCGCTAGAGAATTAGTGGTATTGGGTCTGTAAATCGCATTAAGCATAAAATTGACATCATCATGCAGTGTTGATTCAAGTGCCTACACTATCTCTTTCTCTCTCTCTCACTTTATATATATATATATATATATATATATATATATATGAAGGAAGGAAGGAAGGAAACCGTTCCTGCATCAAATGCAGTTTTTCTCTATCAAGACCCATATGTGAAAAATACCTCTTCCGCTAACGCTACGAGAAAATTTCTAGCCGACGAAAGAAGCGCCTAACTATTTGTGTGTCCACTTTCTCTTTGTCTATCTCTTTCTCTCTCAGACTCCTTCATTTTCTCTATCTCTATCAACACACACACACATATATATATAATTATTGGTGTGTTCTCTTTCTCTTTATCTATTTATTTCTCTCTCTAATTCTTTCTTTTTCTCTATCTCTATCAGCACATACACACACATGTACACACACACATATATATATATATATATATATATATATATATATATATATATATATATATATATATATAACAAAAGTGTGTTCCTTTCTCTTTGTCTATCTCTTTCTGTCTCTAAATATTTCTCTCTCTCACTCTTTCTACCGCTCTCTGTCTCTCTATCAACACACTCACACACACACACACACACATATTATTGATATAATAACAGTATTAATTATATTTACCGGCCTGAATATTCGAAAAATATGTGCTTCTCCAGTAGGAATCAAACCTGTATTCCTATGCGTCAACCGTTAATTGATCTGACGTTCTGTACCATTCAGCTACAGAGGAGCGTCGGGCGGCTAAATGTAATTAATACTGTTTAAGTAAAAACAGAGCATTTACTGAAATAAATTTTATCTATAAAAATAACGTATAAACAGAAAATATATGGAAATAATTATCGGACTTCATTATCCATTTCATTATATGTTGTCATTGTTTACGTTAAGATACGTTTAGTGAGCAGATCGAGAAAAATCGTCGGAGTTTGTATTTACAACCAGTCGCTTCTCTATAGCTAAGCCGGATAGCACGTCAGATCAAATGACGTTTCCCTGTAGGACACAGGTTCAATTCCTATTGGGGGAAAGCATATTTTCAATGAAATTTCTTGAACATGAAACAGACATGATTGTTGATATAAATTATAAAATTAACGTATAAACAGAAAATATATATAAATAATTGTCGGACTTAATCCATTTCATAATATTTTGTCATTGTTTACGTTAAGATATATTTCATGAGCAGATATGACCGGTCGAGGAAAATTGTCGAAGATCGAGTTTAAAAAACGGAATTTAGTCTTTGCTAACCAGACTCTTCGCTGTAGCTGAATGGTATAACAAGTCAGGTCAAATGATGGTTTGATTCCTGTCGGACAACTCATAAGTTCTACAAAATTTCTCGAACATTCAGACAGGTAAATGTAATTAATACTGTTTTATTAAAAACAGTGCATTTACTTAAATAGATTGTATCTATAAAAATAACTTTTAAACAGAAAATATATTAAATAATAGTCGGACTTAATCTATATATATATATATATATTTGTGTGTTTGTGTGTTTGTATGTGTGTGTATGTATGTATGTGCGTGTGTGTGTATTGAATTTCTTGATGCTCTGCGAAATGGCGGAAAACTCCTTTTGAAGTACAAAATAAATTCAAAGCCAATGTGAGATCGGTTTTAGTACAAAGCATGATCTCTCTCTCTCTCTCTCTCTCTCTATATATATATATATATATATATATATTGTTTAAAATTTAAGAGAATAGTACTATCTACCTATCTAAGATCGACATTTTTGGATTCAATAAAAGGGGACGGAAAATGAACATTGCAGAGTGGCTGTCATTTTAAAGCTTCAAGCCATCTTCTGAACATTCTTTTTAGGTGTGAAATTGATAGCCGTCAAGTAATGTTAATTTATAATTCCGCCTACATCTATCTATCTATCTATCTGTTGTAGAGCAGTTTTCGCAGTGGAGGCTTGTATTTCACTAAGTCGGTTCTAAAAGGGTCCGACGTACAAAACGTTAGGAACTTGAAATAATAGTTAATGACGCAGCAATCTAGTTGTGGTGGTTGATACTTTAATGTCCGACATCGACTGACTCACCAACTCCACTGAGCCCCCTGGCGATTGCTACTACTACTACTTATTATCTGTGGGAGAGTCTATTAACAATAGAATAAGTATGTTCCGGTATAACACTATCCTTCCGTTTCTCTCATAAAAAAATTCCATTAAAAAATTGGCTTGTTATAGTTAATGAAAGTTTTACAAATAGGTGCCAACTTCTTGAAGGCGAAGTAAAATGCAAATTTCAACTACTTTTCTGCACTATATAAGACGATATTTCTGAACAGAACTATTTTTGATATGAAAATCAAAACATCCTCGAATAAAAGAACGCTAATGAAGGGCAGTCAATTAATGAATTAGTTAAACCTGAAGAGTAGAAGTAGATAATATATAACACTGATATTGATCTTGTTTCGTGTAATAGTATAAAGTAGACATGGAGGATTTTTAATATCAGAATTCGTGTGCGAATTGCGCTCCAATTTTGCATTTATTCATATAGATCTATAATATAGGTTTTAGCTATTATGTTTATTTAACTCTTCAAATGTTGAATATATAACTATTTCTATTTTCCCATCTTTACTCTATATTAATTTTATCTTATAAATTGTCCCCTGTTATGTCACCCATGAAATAAAAATAATTGTTTGTACGAAAAATAAGGATCTACATATATCAAATCGTCTTTAAGTTGCAGCAGAAGAATTCTCGTTGAACTTTTAAATGGTAAGCGTAAACATTATTCCAATACTTAAATGCAGCGATCAATTTTTTAGTTCTTCTATTGCTTGTTGATGCCTATCACATCTACTCCTACCTAGCTGTTGTGATGATGACCAAACCAAGAGTCCTCCATAGGACGAAGATTAAATTCCGCCCGATAAGGCGGCTTTCAAGCTAGTTGATAATAAAACGGGCACTGCAATTTTGGATACAAAAGAAAAATAAGAATTACTCCCCTTGAGCCATGAAAGCAACGATAATGACTAGTATAATATATTAATATATATTTTGAACATCGCATAATCTGGCAACCCTGAATCTGAGCTCAACGAATATCGTTTGCTGCACATAACTTTTCTAGGTCTTTTGAATGAGCTATGAATCATTGAAATCGGACCAGTGGGAGCGGAGGAGTTGCTTAGACACAAACACGCACACATACACCGTACTAGGAAACAAGGGATAAACCTCTACTCCTGTTCAAAAGATTTCAGAGGAGTTCGTTACCTTAACAGGAAAATTGAATAATAAATTCCGGGATGAACGTACATTCTTCGTCTAAATAGGCGATCCTCAATTTTATACCTTCTCTAAATGATATATATATATATATATATATAGAGAGAGAGAGAGAGAGACAGACAGACAGACAGGGAGTGATAGATAAAGAGAGAGAGAGATAAATTTTTGTATACATAGAAATTAACAATGCATTGTAACTCAGTTTCATGCCTCAAACCATCTTTCAACCATGTACAAGATGGCCTGTTCCGTTTATTGCAATCTCCTGCATCAAATTGAAATTCACGTTTCATTATTTGTTTCTGACAATAACAAAAATCTTTTGTGTTGTTAAAATGACGTTATTAAAGTTGCATCAATTGAAGAAAGCGATTTCAAGCGCACTGCTCGTATTGTAGATTAATGTTTTTTGTCAATCATAACGTTCCCTTCTTGATCGTCAAAAAAAAAAAAACTTCTACACTCAGGATCAAATTGAGAAGATTTCAATAAATATATCGGTTCTGTGAATAGCAAAGACATTCAGAAGAAAATTGTCTGGCAGCAAAGTTGTTATAAATATATCAAACCCGAGAGGGAATATTTTAATTGTATAACAACAACAACAATAATAATAATAATAATGAGAAGAAGAAGAAAGACTTGTTTCTGTCTCCTAAAGCAAATTCGAGAAAGAAAGGAACTGCCGTCGAAAGAAAGGGAGAAATAAATAACGAAATTACAGTAGGAAAAAAAGCAGTATAAGCAAAATTAAATAAATAAAAAAATGAACGCGAAAATGAAAGAAAGAAAGGAAGAACGACGACAGAAAGAGACTTAAGTGGAAACAAAAGAAAGAAAAATACAGAGGAAGGAAAGGAAGAAAGAATGAAGTAAAAGAAAGAACGCGAGAACAAAGGAGAGAAATGAGAGTGAAAATAAGAAAGAAAGAAAGAAAGAAATTACAAAGAAAGAAAGAAAGAGAGAAATAACAAAGAAAGAAAACAATTACAGCGAAAATGGAAAGAAAAAGAAAAAAGCAATGAATTACGGCAGAAAAAAAACAACGAATAAATGAATGAATGAAAGAAAGAAAGAAATGAGAGTGAATATAAGAAAGAAAGAAAGAAAGAAATTACAAAGAAAGAAAGAGAGAAATAACAAAGAAAGAAAACAATTACAGCGAAAATGGAAAGAAAAAGAAAAAAGTAAGCAATGAATTACGGCAGAAAAAAAAAACGAATAAATGAATGAATGAAAGAATGAAAGAAATGAAAAAATAAGAAAGAAAGAAAGAAAAGAAAAAGAAATTACAAAGAAAAAGAAAAAAGAGAGAAATAACAAAGAAAGAAAACAATTACAGCGAAAATGGAAAGAAAAAGAAAAAAGTAAGCAATGAATTACGGCAGAAAGAAAGAAACAACGAATAAATGAATGAATGAAAGAAAGAAAGAAATGAGAGTGAATATAAGAAAGAAAGAAAGAAAGAAATTACAAAGAAAGAAAGAGAGAAATAACAAAGAAAGAAAACAATTACAGCGAAAATGGAAAGAAAAAGAAAAAAGTAAGCAATGAATTACGGCAGAAAGAAAGAAACAACGAATAAATGAATGAATGAAAGAAAGAAAGAAATGAGAGTGAAAATAAGAAAGAAAGAAAGAGAAAGAAAGAAATTACAAAGAAAGAAAGAAAGAGAGAAATAACAAAGAAAGAAAACAATTACAGCGAAAATGGAAAGAAAAAGAAAAAAGTAAGCAATGAATTACGGCAGAAAGAAAGAAACAACGAATAAATGAATGAATGAAAGAAAGAAAGAAATGAGAGTGAATATCAGAAAGAAAGAAATTACAAAAAAAGAAAGCAATTACAGCGAAAAATAGAAAGAAAGAAAGAAAGAAAGGAAAAAGAAAGAAAAAGGAAGAAAAAAGAAACGAAGAATGAAAGAAAGAAACAAAGAAAAAAGAAAGAAAGGAAGAGAGAAAGAAAGAAAGAACGTGATAACGAAAGAAAGAAATGAGTGAAAATAAGAAAGGAAGAAAGAAATTACAAAGGAAGCCATTACTGCGAAAAACAGAAAGAAAGAAAGGAAGAATGAAAAAAAAAGAAAGAAAAAGAAAGAAAGAAAGAGAAACTACAGTGGAAAGAAAGAAAGAGTGTCAAGTAGAGAGAGAATGAAAAATGTCAGTAGAGATAAGTAATATTAACGAAAAACTGATGGAGAGTGCGACAAAATAAAAGAAGCTGATGACGTCAGGAGGAAAACACAAGAAAAAAGAAAGGAAAGCAGAAGGTAGAAAAAGAGAAAAAGAAATGGACAAGATGGAAGGCGAAATAATAAGATATTGATACACATACATGCCGATATTCTGTTATTCGTTATTGTTGTGATGAGATAAACCAACTTCCCCATTCACGATAATGGATGGACTGGTTGCCGATAAAGTACGACCACAGCGGACAGTAAGAAAAAAAAGGTCTTCGTTTGTTAACACCTATTGAGGTTAGCATACTCCTGACTCTGGTCTCTGTATTTGACAAACCTACATCCGATTATAAAATTATTATTGAAAACCAACACTCGGGTTTACTTTGTTTATTATATCTTGCACGAGATATAACAGTTATTTTATAGATACAATTTATTTAAGTAAATAGTATCAATTATATTTACCGTAATTGTCGGACTTAATCCATTTCATTTAATGTTGTCATTTTTTACGTTAAGATACGTTTCATGAGCAGAAATGATCGATCGAGAAAAATCGAGAATGTGCGTTTATAAACAGTATTTCGGACTTTGCTAACCAGATGCTTCTCTGTAGCTGAATGGTACAGCATATCAGGTCAGTTTCCGTATAGGAATATAGGTTCGATTCCTGTCGGCGAACCCATATCTTCTACGAAATTGCTCGAACATTCAGGCCGGTAAATATAATAAATGCTGTTTAATTACAAAAAAAACGTAATTACTTAAATAAAATGTATATGTAAAAATAACAGATATTCATATATATAAAAATATATATATGTGTGTGTGTGTGTGTTATTTTTAATTTATTTTGTTTAAACCTGTTATATATATATATATATATATATATATATAAGTGATTAAACAGAGCACGGTAAAAGATTGCAAAAAAAAGGACATGATTGACAAAGGGAAGAAGTGAAAGATAGAGAGAAGAGTTAAAGAGAGAGAGAGGAGAAGAAATAAAATGGCGGAAGAGAACCCAAGAAGCGCGTACAAATGGAAAATAAGAGACTAGAGCAATAAAGAATGTCTGGAATGAACTTCCAGAGCAAAGAACCGCGAAAAGTCTACGAACCAGCTCCCTCCCTCCCCCAACTCCTTCAACTCCCTCCCTTCCAACATTCAAACACTGGTCGTGATGGAATTTTTAGGGAAAGCCTTCTTATGTCGTCTATCTCGCTACGAGAGAAGAAGCAGTCTGTAGAATGGAGTCGAACATGCTCGGGATCGAGGTCGACGGGTGGAGGAGTGTGAAGGAGACGGGAGTTTGTTTTGATAAAAGTGGCAGGTCGTTGGTGGGGTGAGGAGAATTGTAGGCGGAAGAGAAAGAAACAGAGAGAAAAAGAGAGAGAGAGAAAGAGAGAGAGAGAGTGGATTATAACGGGGGAAGGTTGTTATAGTGTTAGATATTTCGACAAGGTCTGTTTTCTAATTATCTACTTATAAAAAGGCACCAGTCAAAACGAGAAAGTTACGAGAAACAATAAGAAAGAAAAAACGAAACAGTGAGGAATTTGGCTGTGTGAGGTTGGAATTTTCGAATACTTTAATTGCTGCGATAGAAAATGGTAAAAAGTAATATGAGAAAGCATGGCCAATCTTCCATTTCTACTTTCTGTCAATCTTCATACTATATATATATATATATATATATATATATATATATATATATATATATATATATATATGCTAAAGATTAATGGATAGCTAAAATCATATAAAAAAAGGCGTTCACGTTATATTCAGTATGTTATGTGCCATGCGTGATACACGCTTAATCAGTCAAGTATCTTTCGATACATGAATGACGAGGCAGATTTTTTCCCGCAGTAGGTTGCCACCTTCTTTCTGCGGTAATCCAGTTACCATCCAAGGCTATGGAACTGCTGTTTGCCCATAGAAAAATACTTGATAAACATTCAGTTGTCAATCTTTCAATAGAGCTGTCAACACATTATCCAAACACCTACCTAGGTGTTAAAAATGCATTTCTCTGATATTTTAAACAAAAAGTAATTAATATTTGTTTCAAATCAAATTGATGGGAAAAGAAGAGTATTAGCACGTAAATGAATATAATGGACTTGACTAGAATTCGAACTCGGATCTCCGATTCCGAGGTGCCATTCTTTACTCCACCGTTCCTCCTACGTTAGTGCTATATTAATGCAGTAATTTTTATAGATATGTCTCCCGTAGAAAAATACAAAAACTTTCAGCTGTCAATCTGTCAATAGAGCTGTCAACACCTAATCAAAACCACTACCTCGGTGTTAAAAAATGCATTTCTGTGATAATTAAAACTAAAAGAAATTAATGTTTGTTTCAAATCCAATTTATGAAATTTTAAATCAGTTAATATTCCTCAAGTAAAGTTTCAGAAAAGGTTTAATAAAGAGAATTACATTGTACTGATACATGTCTAAAAATGGCTAAAATCAAGGATTTAATCCAGTTCATTTAAATTAATTTTTAAAGACAGCAAAGTATTTTGCTTATTGGAAATATTAAATTCAATCTTTTAACTTAAAATTAAAATAAAATCACTAAGAAAGATATTCATTTTAAACTTAAAGTATCACGTTTTCTTTGTAATATATATATATATATATATATTCATGAATTATTCACACAAAAACTAATGCAAAGGTTAATGATTTAATTGGCGAGAAATCCATCATCGCAAACAATTCAAATAATATACAATACATATATTTTCGTTGTCCTCTTATTACTAAGAGAAAAAACAAGAACAACATCTATTCTATACCTGAAGATGTCTGTAGGAACAGACGAAAGCTTGTAGTAAAAATAAGAACTAATACGGCAGAAATTTATATAAACAAGGATCATTTCATTCATAACGGATTCGGAGGTTTTTGTATATTATTTGAATTGTTTGCGATGATGGATTTCTCGCCAATTAAATCATTAACCTTTGCATTAGTTTTTGTGTGAATAATTCATGAATTTGTAAATTGATTGCACGTTTATCGTTATATATATATATATATATATATATATATATATATATATATATATATATATATATATATATATATATATATATATATATATATATAGCCGAGTGGTTAGAATGCTCGCATTCGGACCATGAAACTCGAGTTCGAATCTCATTGTGTTCGATTTGTCAGTAAAGAGACTTCCTGATGTTATCGTATTGAAGGGGGGTCACCTTTGGAAAGTGCCTGAAAACCATACCACGGCTTGACCCAAACATTGTGAGTGAAATTAGGTAGACGTAACCTTTGGAGCCGTCAATAGCTGTCCTAGCACAAAATAACGAGTCATCGTGGCCGAGGACTTGAGCGTGCTAGCCTTGTTCAAATTGTTGATCACGCTAGATAACACGCTCCTTCCCAGAAACTGTAACTAAGGTCTGCTCATTTGCAGTATAGACCACAAATGCGCCTGATCAAGCATCTGCAACAAGGAAAAGGAATGGCAGGCCCCGCCCTATTAGACAGTTACGGTCGAATACGAGTGGCCAGCTATATATATATATATATATATATATATATATATATATATATATATAAACAAAAATAATAATATTCATAATAAGGATAATAATATATTATATATTAGATCTTTTAGCCAAATGGAAGCATAACAAGATTTATTTTTAAAGTCAGAATCTTTGAATATGTCTGTGATTTTAACGCAACGAGAAATAAAAATAAAAAAAATAAAAATAAAATGGGATTTTCATTTTCCGAGGACTTTTTTTTAACGCAGGTGTTATATTACTGCCTGCTGGTTTTTCGATTAGTTTTTTTCTCAATATTAGGGTTGTTTGTTTGTATGTATGTATGGCCGCGTGGACGAGTGCTTAGAACGTTCGCTTTCTGACCATGGTGGATTTGCCAGGTCTGGATATTGGTCTGGAGAGTGGACAATCCGAGCGTGCAGCACCATTGGAAAGTGTCTGAAAACCCTACCACGGTATAAACCACGAGTTCACCGGTTGAGTGAAAATGGGTAGACGGAACACTTGGGGCCGTCGATAGCTGTCATCGTGACCGAGGGTCTGAGCGTTCTGGTGTTGATCATTTTAGATAACACGCTCTCTGCCAGAAACTGTAACTTGGCTCTGTGGGTTTTGAACAAACACAAATGTGCCTGAGCGAGAGTCTGCAACAGGGACTGGCTAGACCCCCCCCTTAGTAGACGGGTATCCTCGAATACGAGTGGCCAGCTATTATTATTATTATTATGTATATGGTATATTTCGGCAATAAGTATTTGTTATGGTGAAACACACCTATTCTATAGTTAATAGACTCTCCCACCTAATATAAATAGGAGTAGTAAGAGAAACGAGGGTCAGTCGATGTTGGACGACAGTAGTCGACAGTCGAATACGAAAGTAGTCAGCGACCACAAGATTACTCTGCGTAATACCTATTATATCAAGTTCCTAACGTTTTGTACATCGAACCTATTTTAGGACCGATTTAGTACAAATACAAGCCTCCACTGCGAAATAAGTCCACAACAACTTTGGCGACGAGGATTCGCACTCATACGGAGGAAGAAAAAAATTCGTTCGCCACAATAGTATTCATACACACAAGTTTGTAATCAAATTTTTGTTATTTTTGTTCAAGTACTTTCGACTTTCACAGTCATAACTATCAGCATAAGAAAAATAATAATGGCTAACAACAAAATAATATACACCACCCAATACAAGGTAAGACTCACAACTCGAGAAGCTATTATTATACAAAATAAATAGTCCATATTAAATAAAACGTCATTCACCAGAGCAGGTGACATCTTGAAGTGTATCCGAATTAATGTACGTACATATTATATTAGTATAAAAAGAAATAATTTATTAATAAATAAAATAAACAAACCAACTTCTTTTTGTGTGACCTCGTTCTAAATAACCGTTACGTATAACGTCACTCTAGACCATTTCAAACGTCCAGCTTCCCAAAAAATACCAGTATACAGATAAAGGAATTCTAATTACCACACAGACACCACATTGGTTCTTGATAATGACTGCGAAAGTAAATAATTATTTGAACAAAAATAACAGAATATAAACTTCGGACAATTTATCAACAACTTCGAGCAAAATACTCAACACCTTATCCGAAAATTGGAAGAATATAATAAAAACTTAGGTAGATCTTGTTGGTTCTTTTTAATCTATCTTGTTTGGATACATGTTCGCATGCGTGAGTGTGAGCGCGCATGTTGATAGATATAATAGCGAAAGATTTGTTTATATATGAACAAAAGATCCGAGCTGCTTTCTGAATAGAGAAAACAAAAAAAGAACTTCCTACAACGCTACCACCAGCCACAACAATATTCAAAATAACTGAATAAAAACTCATGGCCTAAATCAAATAAAATATAATGACAAAATAAACAAAGAAATATGTGAAATAAATAAGAGAATTAAAAGTCAGGATTTTAAAGAACATTCATAACTTAAAGAATTAGCCTTACACAAAAAAAAAAAAAATTGACGGGGACAAGATGTTCCTTCCTTCTCCCACAACCCTTAATGTCACAGTGGCCTATATATAGATTTTGGGAAAGGAAAAGGGACAAGTAATTTAAAGATCACTCGAGGTGTGAAATTGAGTTTCCTTGCTATATTGAATCCTATATTCTCACTTTACACCCACCCACACACGCACACATGTATGTGCGTATGTATATATATATATATATATATATATATATATATATATATATATATATATATATATACTATTTGTGCCTGATGACTTGGGTAACCATGAAACTCTGAGTTGCACTACAAACGTAGGTATATATATATATATATAGTGATTTTCTAAGCGTAGTTAAATGTGGCAAAGGTCTAAAATATGGGGCACTCAGTGATGATCGAAATCATTACTGAGCCATAATTGTTCAATAAAACAAGGTTGCCAACCATTACACCACATCAATGTGCCCCACTTAAAAGTTTCATTTATTGGATACCCATATTTGAGTAGAAGCTCCGTTTATTTATTAAATGATATATATATTCATTTTGACTTAACGACATATTATATAGATATTCTGGCAGGATTTTAAACGATGAAGTCTGTCGGATTAATAAAAAAAATCCATTTCTTCCATAGAAAATATATATATATATATATATATATATATATATATATATACACACACACATTTGTGTGGGTGGGTGTGTGTATGTGTGTGAACACTGAGGTCAACATCGAGCTTCGACCGCCTGTTTCATATCTGAATGCCATCTTCAGGCCATGAAGATTGCGTTCAAGCATGAAGCAGACAAGCTGAAGTCAATATCTCAGTGTTGACTTCAGCGTTCCCATTCATAAAATAATTACCTTTACATGCGCTCTATTTGTTTTATTGAGCAATTTTACCCATAAATATGGCAAACTATATTTGAATTACAGATATATATATATATATATGTGTGTGTGTGTGTGTGTGCACGCGCGTGTGTGCGTCTGCGTACGTGTATCCATAAATGAAATTCAAAGTTTCATGATTACCCAATTTATCAGGCACAAATGTTAAACATACTATTGAATACGGTAGTTTATTTTTTTAATTTCTGGTTTTCATGGTAGGAACGTTATATCTATCTATCGATCTATCTATCTATCTATCTATCTATCTATCTATCTATGTGGTTCTGTTTATCTATCTATTTAGATAGATCGATAGATAGATATGAACAGATAGATAGATAGATAGATATCTCTGTTCATATCTATCTAACTTGGGCATATCAAATGGTGTAATGGTTAGAATGGTTGTATCAATAGAGGAATTACCACTGAATAAAGATTTCGGTCCATACTGAAATTGTGCTACATCTAATCTCGAAACTCATTTGGGAGCACATCTACGTGGTATAATGTTTATCATTGCTGTCTCTCTAGATCAACTATACAAGGTGATTTCGATCCTCACTCAATGTGCCATAATACGCTTAGAAAATCCCCTCTCTCTCTCTCTCTCCCTCTCTCCTCTCTCCTCTCTCTCTCTCCCCCTCTCTCTCCTCTCTCTCTCTCTCTCTCTCTCTCTCTCTATATATATATATATATATATATATACACATACACGCCATATGTTCATATCTATGTCCGTTTTTATCTATCTATCTATCTATCGCTGTTCATGTCTGTCTATCAATCTCTGTTCATATCTATCTATCTATCTATGTTCATATATGTCCATCGATCTCTGTTCATATCTATCTATCTATCTATCTATCGATCTCTGTTCATATATGTCCATCGATCTCTGTTCATATCTATCTATCTATCTATTTATGTTCATATATGTCCATCGATCTCTGTTCATATCTATCTATCTATCTATGTTCATATCAAACTCTCCATTGATCTCGGTCTGTTCACATCACCGTATTTTGTCTCATCTTCTCTTCTCATATAACAGAAACTGTTTAATGTTTCATCCGACGCGCCATTCCATAACCCCCCACCCCTATTTTTCCCGACCCTCTTTCCTCATCTCTCTTCCCACAACATCTCGCCTGACTCCTGAAAGCCACCGACTTGGATAATAACTGTGTCATTCTTACTAACACAAAAGCGCATCAAAATGTTTCTACTTGATTTTTTCCCCTCTCGTATTCTTTGTAAACCTGGCATATTTGTGGCATACTCTGCATGCCTTTGCATCTGAATCTGATATATAAATAGAATTTTCTGCCTACCAAAGTGTATATGTCGCTGTTTGAAGCTATAAGATCTTAGGCAATTTCTGTTGTTACTTTTTGTAAGTTGCACACTTAAATTCCGTGTCATATTATTTCTTTAGAAATATATTAAGCTTCTATTGTGTGAGTTGATTGATTTGTTGCTTTTTACGGTTTATCAACCTTTTTCAGGTTATTTAGATTCAGAAAATATTTTTCGAATGTAAGGTTATTTGGAGTGTCATATAGGAAGAAAATGAGTAACTACTAACACCGAGGTTCGAACCTGTCACTCTGCATTTATGTATGTTTTTCCGCCAGGTGTATAAATAGCGGTGTCAGGCTACTGACTGCAGTGATTATTGAATGACTCTTGAGTGGAACTATCCAGTCGAATTAGTGTGAATTATTGTGCGCCGAGGATTTGGGTTTTTGATCAGCGTACATGGATGATTCTATGTTTATATCCATATTATTTATTTTTTCTATTCATGTCTATCCAGTTCATATATATATATTTATTTGTTCAGTTGGTTTCTGTCTCATTGTTTTTCTATTAGTACTTAACATCTATCTATCTGTCTCAGTCTGCCTATATCTGTCAGTCTGTGTATCTATCTATCTATCTATCTATCTGTAATATGTAATATGTAAGCAATATAAGACTGAACTGTGAATGGATCCACAGTAAGTTCAAAATAGAAACAACAGTAATAAGATGAAGGGTAATTAGTAATAAACTAATAAATGTAAAGAAAAGATTATTGACAAAATGTTAGGATGAAAATCATAAAATTAGTAATAATAACAAAATGTCAAAATCATTTTGGAACCACATCTGATAAATGTTGAAGCCCAGCCGACAAAAGACATCTTTGAAATCGTTTGAGAAAGTATGTAAATACAAGAAATCAGTTGAATGTAGCAACTCAGAACAACACTATTATTGCCTGTTGTTTTTTTGGGGGGTGGGGGCGTTGGGCATGATCCCAAAAGGAGCAAACAAATATATCGATCAAATTCTTTGTAGTCGGAAAATGAACGATTTGTAAAAAAAAAAAAAAAAAAAATAAGTTTACTTAGATTCTCAGATCTTTAGTAGATTTCTCTCCGTGAAATCACTGTTCGAGACTTTGAGACATCACGTACCACAAAAAGTAAAGGTGAATAATAATAATAATAAATCTAAGATGACACATATGTAAAACTCTTCGTAAGGTACAGCTCACACATTACGAAGACAATTATTTATGTAAAATGTATGTGATCTTGGGTTGTTTTTTTTTTTTTTGTGTTACTTTTTTCTTACCAAAGTGATTAATAGAAATTTTCAAATAAAAAAAAAATAACATTTAAAACATTGTGATTGTAAAAATCCAAGCCTTAAATCCATTTACGGAAAAAAACACGATTTCATTTCAAGCGAATCTCATCCAAATCATGTTCAATTTTTTAAAATTCTTTTCCCTGTTTCTTTGCCTAAAATCAAAATATTCTTAAACTTCTTTCTATTCTATACCTTCAAGACGTTATCGATCATAACTTTCCACAATTTCTCGTCCTTTTTAGCTCTTAATAAATTGTATCTTCTTGTTATCTCTTCTAAATCATATTACACCATCCATTTACTCAAGTTTACTCTGTATTTTATGCGTTGTTTTCTACTATCCCCGCTTGCCTTTAATCTCTCCTGTGAGTATCGAATTTTCCGAGGAATCTTTCCTCATTTGTGCCCTAAAAATTTCAATTGTCTCTTCTCGATATTAAATATAAGGATATATTTTGTTTCAATTTATTCAAAAGTTTTATCATTGCTCACATGTTCGGTTCATGGTATCCTCAGCATCCATCTGTAGAACCACATTTCTCTTGTTTCAAGTCCCCTCCTTATCGATGAGAAAATTGTCCAGCATTCAAGGTCATATAGAAGCAGAAGATATTGCATAACAGTTTAGTAATCTTTTCTTTGATTATAACCGTTTTTTTTTTTTCTGTTTCTTAATACTCGGCTTAGCTTTTGGAAAGCATATTCTTATAAAGTATAACGGTATGATGAAAATGCTTACAACTGCTGTGGATGCATTTATACCTCATTCAGTTGCAGTAATTCACTCAAGGCATGTGTTGGACAACTGAAACGCGATATCACAATCTTTGTAGCGATGAATTCAACCATTTTATTTTATACAAATTAATTTGAAGAATAAAGACATTTTTAAAGCATTTCACCATAGGCAAGACGGGAGCGCCACTACCACGCAAGGGGTTACAGAGACTGAAAGTAAGAATAAAGAGAAGGACGGGGATCAAGATCAAGGCATAAGAAGATGTCGATTGACATTACATTTGAATATCTGAATATTATAATTATCAGGGAAGCGAGTAAAGGAAGGGAGTTTCACTGTCGGGAAGTTCCAGATAAGAAGCTGTTGGAGTAGAAGAGACTGCTTCATTTAACTGTTTCGACAGTGAAAGGTTGGAACCGAGACGCCAAACTAGTAGCAAGCTTAAATTCATGCAAGTGAGGCACCAGTGAAAATAGCTCGTCAGACCACTTGCCATGAAAATATTTGTAGAAAAGTCAGAGAAAAACCTTCTGGCACGACACAGAGAACCAACTTTCCTTGTGGTAGATGAAGCTATTTATTCAATGTAGTTGTTCTGTTACAGTTTTTTGTGTATATATATATAGGTGTAACTAGTTAGTTGGTCAAAATGACTTAATTCCCTTTATAGTCTACCAATAGAAGATTAACCAATCAGAAGCCGCAGAACATTGTATCCGTCGTGTATAAAGGAGGCCATTTTTGTTTACCCTACCCGAATGACCAGTGCCAACTTGTCAGGCGAAGATGACAGAAGGAAGAACTTCGCTCTGCTACTTTGCTGCGATATTCACTGCTAACCTGAACTACGCTTTCCTACTGTCTCCGAAATATTCACTGCTAACCTCTGGATTCTATACTCGAAGACGACCGTCAAAATGTCTAACATGTTCCACCTCAGGTCAGTGAAAAACCCGAGACGAAGAAAACGCAGAGAAACGCTGTAGTGTTTAAATTGTTTACCAGTGACACAAAAACGTTTATACAAAGATATTATTAACAAATAATTAAAGTAAGTTGTATGCCTTTTATGTTTTTTTTATTTATACCGAGTTTATTATCTCCAATATTTAGGCAAAGAAAATTTCGAATATCTTGTATCAAGCGAATTAGGAGGACGAGACACATGTAACGACTCTTAAATTATATTATTATTTTTTTTTTTAATGCTTATCAGTAACGTCTTTTTTTCTTTTTTTTATTTCCTATTTAAATGTCCAAGTCAATAATCAAATTTCTTGGCATTTGAATGCTTGCAATCTACTGGCATACAAGAGAGAAGTGGACTGATTCTATATTTAGCCCAAAACAGAATTGGAAATATAAATGGTAAGATATTAAATTCTATACGATATTTCAGACATTTTTTTCTCTTATACAAATGCAGATCTGTTCAAGAAATGTATTTTTGGATCAGATTAAAGCCCATCAAAAAGAGAAAGAATAAATCCGAAGAATTTTCCGATAATGTAATAATCAAAATGAAATCCATCGCATTGAATATTTCTCGTCTTTAAGACGCGTTTTGTTTTACTTCTACCATTCACACAAGGAGCGTGTCTAGCACCTTGAAACACGGAAAACCAGTGTAATAAAATCTTGGAAAGGTTTAAAACCCACTGTTCTAGCTTATTAAAGCTATCTCGAAAACTAATAAAGAGTTCAAATAAAGGATTCCTCAACTGGATAGATTCTCTAATAAGAATCATTTGGCATGATTTAAATATCAAAGAATTAGATTAGCAAATAAAAATCGATTATAAAGCAGGATTATTCCTTTAAAATTTCGGAAATAATTTGGCACATTTTGACGCGAGTGTGATATCGTTCGCAACAAAGTGAGAAATTCCTTTCTATACCCAAACGTTTGCGTGTTGATCCGTAATCGAGAGTTTGCAATGTTCACTTCCTGATCATTATTCCTGGTTTCGATTTGTCAAGAAGATTTCTCAGAAAGATCTGGAGAGGCGATGCCAGCGCGCAACAATTGCGAAGAGTCACTAGTCAGCGTGACCGAGGCTTTGAGCGTACTGGCGTTGTTCAAATTGCTAATTATGATACATTATACGCTGCTTCATAGAAACTATGAATAAGTTCGATTTGCATACTAACAGTATAAACCACAGTTGAACACTAGGTATTTAACAAAACTTAAATGTGCCTGAATAAGTGTCTGCAACAAGGATTGCCTTTTGCGAGTAGACGAGGGTGGTGATATACATACATACATACACACACACACACACACATATATATATATATATATATATATATTTGGTTGGATAGATGCGAGTTTGTTATATGTTAGCTCTATCTCTGATATTGAGCGCTTTCTAATAAGTACCATGCATATAATATATAAATAATTATACATATATATTTTATTCATATTTATATACACTTTTCACACACACACACACACATATATATATATATATATATATATATATATATATATATATATATATAAATAAACTGATGATGTGTTGAATAAATACAAGGTTCAGTCTAGGACCTGTCTTCTTCGTCTCGAATCTAAGTGTCGATTTCCAGCAATCTTTTCTTGGGATCAAAATGTAGTATCTGTGCACCCTATGGAAAGTGATACACATATAAACTTATCCTTATTCATAGTTTAATCATACCGTAAAAAGAAATAATGCTTGAAGTTAAGAAATGTAACAACTCTATAGGGGCATATAGAGTCGCCTATCGCCCGGTATACACTCCTCCCGGTCTTTAGAACGTGAGTAGCCCAAAAGCAGAGCATTATCTACCATATCTACTCTTGTTCAAAGGACCGTTGGATGCATGACGCCTGTATGAGAGTCAAGACCTGACGAGGTTGTTTGTGATAATGACTTGCATTCTTAGCTTAATGTTTGGGATTTGTAACAACTTACTGTGTTAGACAAAACTATCTCTAATTCAGGCTATTCTACATTCAATTTTCTATATAAAACTGATTCAGACACCGAGATTTTTGAAGAATTTAAAACTTATTTTTGACATTTCGTTGAGTGGTGCGAAAGACCTTTCCAAGTCCCTTCCTTTTAGACCCCACCAACAATCTGAGCCCATACAACAGGAGGGAAGACCTTTACAAATTTCTTCCTTTTGGACCTCACCAACAATTTGAGATCATGCAACAGGGGTTGGTGAGACCTTTACAAGTTTCTTCCTTTTGGAGTTAACCAACAATATGAGATCATGCAACAGACGGGAAAGAGCTTTACAAGTCTCTTCGTTTTGGACCTCACCAACAACCTGGGACCATGCAACGGGGTGGGGTAGACCTTTTTTTTTTTTTTTTTTTTAAGCGTTTCACCCCAAGCAAGGCGGGAAGCCACTAGGACGCAAGGGGTTACAGAAAATTTGGAGCAAGATCAGATAGGAGTGATAGAAGAAAGGATGAGGAGAAGGGTAGTGGATAGAGCAAGGCAACTGGAGATATCGATTGACATTACATTTGAATAGCTGTAGATTATAGCTCTCAGGGAAACAGGAGAAGGGAAGGGAGTTCCACAGACGAGAGGTGCGAG